TTACTTAAAAAGTCCCAGAGGACAAAAATAATATATCGCGTCCAAAGAATTACAAAAAAACGTAAAGCAAAAGAAAGACAAATTTTTTAGTCTTTTTCCTAGGTTGGACTTGACAGGAAGGGCCAAACTGGCCTTCCTCCTAAATAATCTAAAGTGTTTTAATCTGAAAAAGGGAGATTTAATAGGAGAATAATAACGAAAATATAGCACTATTGAATAGGCTAATTATATAATAGTGAGCTGTTTCAGAATCATCACTGTGTTTTTGTAAAATGTTCGTTTTGTCCTTTCCCAATGTCGTTTCATGTTACAGGCAAGTTATCAAGGTGAATCGTTTTCTGACGTAACATAAGGGTGTGCAATGAGAACCGATAGCATTCTTTTTCTTAACATGTTTTAGCTTGCGCATCAACATATCTCGACAACATAGACAGAAACGCCTAAAATTTGAATTGTTAGTTGGTTACATGAAGCCAATTAATTATACAACGTAATTACTCTTCCTTTACTATGTAAAATCGTCCAGAGTAGTTACTGCATCTTTTATTTACTTTATGAAGAAATTCATTATTTGCTACAAGTACGGACTCAGAATCACATATTAAAAATATTTTCAATAATACCTGACTACTAAATGTTGGAGTTCGGTAATCCTGAAGAAATTGGTGACAAAGGGTGATTGATAAATGTCAGTTTGCACAAAACCCAGACACTTTACGTCATATTATATTCAAGCAAGTTTGTCCTGTAGCCTGAAAAAAAGGCACAGATTGCGACTTACAGCAAGATTCTTTACAATTTGGCCATCAATTCAGTTGCCAAATCGTATCGATTCGGTGGTCTGTGAAGAGTCTATCAATTGTTCCCAGTTCCGTAATTCCCGAAGGACAAAAGCTCTTTGTGTTGATACAGAAGTTAGTGTAAGTGTAGAATATTCTTATCCCTGTTTGGGTCTGGTTTACTCCGAAACAATACCACAAAGCGGATTTAAAGGAAATGCACAGATGGCAGATGATTTTGTTTAGAGTTTGTACGCCAGGAATATTATGCGGCAATCTGGTGCGATAGTGCGGTCAAAAATTTGTGGCGCAACTTATTTGTCAGATATTTCCTAAACTATTGAACATAGACTCTCCAGCATTTGCACAATGACTTGTATCAATTTGTCGTAAAGGATCAATATTTTTGTAAAGATCTTTTAGCTGTATTCTAGAAAATTCCTTCATAAATATAAATAGAAATCCAAGTGGGTGGTTTCTACAGATTTAAGTAGTTTAACAGCTCGGGCAATCTTGCTATTAAAAGCGAGTCCGTCATTTTTTCCCTTATCGTGACACAATCGTTATTGAACGCATGTTTTGAGAAATTTTAGTGCAAAAATTTGTTTGCTATAAAATTAATTTCTTGTAACAAGTTTTGTCAAATAAAAAGTGTCACTGGTGAGCTGTGACGTAGCCATACGCGTATGCAAAATATGTGTGGGAAGCAGGAAGTGCTGTGAACAATCTCATTTTCTGCGTGACAGAGATCTATAGTATCTATTATCTATTTGTTTTATATAAATCTACGAAGAAAAGTTTAAAAATCTAGCTTCAATTGTTGAGAAAAAATATGATTAAGTTGAGACAAAATTGATACAAACCTCTTCGCAAAGTATGGATGACACTGATTCACCAGTTAAAGAGATATTTGAAGATATCAGTTGCGCCACGAATTTTTGACCGTACTCTAAGTATTGTTTTAACAGCGTCATCTTTTTCGACACACAGCGCAGGGACAGAGAAATCTACTGTATCTTGACACCCCACACCCCTTTCGCTCCTTCTCCCTGCATAAATTTTCGCAATTTGAAAATGCTTTTGCATAATATTTGCTGCCCCCCCCTCTTGTTTGCACGAGAGCAGTCGGGGATTTCTTTTTCCATAAAATACTTAAGAAGAAAATGTTCTACTTGAGTGTCTCAGATCGAGTGTGTACCATTCATAAAAAAAGACAAGTTTTTCAAGTCTGCCCCTTCCTCTTCTGTCTAGCCTTCAAAAACGTCCAGGCAAATAGCATGTACATTTTGCTAAAATTAATAGGGACATGGTTTACCTTTTTTTTTTTCTTATTTTTCTTAAATCATCAGAAAAAAGAAAAGAATCATGTGTCTATGTTCATCCAAGAAAAATGGATTACAGTTATTAAAATTTATTGAATTTGTGAAACTGCTAATGTGGCAAACGTTCTGAAAAAGACGGCAATGCCTTTTCTGATTTAAAAAAAAGCCAAAATAAAAGCCAAAACAAAACAAAACATAAAAATAAAAAAGCAAACCCCCCTCCACCCCCCCCCCCAAAACAACAAAAAACAAACAACAGCAACAACCAAAAACAACAACAACAAAGAGCGTGAGTAAGCAATTGTCATCATGGACAGTTGCAAAGGGAAAGCGGGTGTTTTTTCGTGGGAGATTGGGGGGTGGGGAGGATGGGGGTTAAAACACCGTTGGATGCTGAGGGTATATAACAGGGAATTCAGACATTGGTACTTCATAGGTTCGAAGGTGCAAACATATAACGTGAATTCACAGTGATTAATGAGAACTGACCATCCATATCTAGGATTATTTGTTGGAAATTAGTTGAGCACCCCTTCTTCCCTCACTCGGCCCTGCGCTCAACCCCTCCCCCCCAAAAAAAAATAATAAAAAAATCCTACTCCGCTCTCTAGGAGGACATCCGCACTCACCCATCCCCCTTCTTCATTCTGACTCACTCTTCTCTTCCGTACTCCCCCTCCTACCATCCTGCCCCGCTTTCCTCCATTGCACCCCCCGTCCGCGCCATTGTCCAGCTCTATACCCCCGCAACCCTCTCCTCCCTTGCAAAAAGCCCCACAAACCTATACTATTCACCACGGACTTAAAAGCTGACCCACCACAGCAACTACAGAAAATCTCTTTTCTTTTTCCCCTCTGTAGCATAAATTCTTACTATGTAGTGACAGCTGAAGTAGTTAAAGCTTGCGATTATTATATTTGAACCATATTTGTACCATGAAGTAATGGATCTGCACAAATATATGTAATTTTATTTCCGTAATTTTTTTCCTGAATTGTTCCACTTCTTTTAAATATATAAACTTCTATTCTTACGGGTTATTTTTTTCTGTTGTCTTGTCTTAATTCAAAACTCAAAATGTGTGATTTATTCATTGCTCTCTCTCTCTCTCTCTCTCTCTCTCTCTCTCTCTCTCTCTCTCTCTCTCTCTCTCTCTGCCCTGAATATTCTCTTTAACTTTGAACACTGACTTGTGTTCTTGGACAGATTATGCATTATTGGGCCTCGGATCTTCCGTTTTCACCTCTCAACTCGAGCTATAAAATTTTTACTCTTCCCCAGCGTGGGATGTTGCTCTCAACAAGCAAGGGGGACAATAATTTTATGCCGTGTATACTTTCTAGTGCAAATCCGGTTACATTTTTTCAAATTTACGTGCTTTATCCAGCTTTTGTTTGTTTTGATAAGTGGCTCGAAGGCCAGGTCTACCCTCCCCCCCCCCCCACCCACAAAAAATAGAAAAAGGACCCCCCAAAAAAAATAAAAAATAAAAAAAAATAAAAAGATAAAAAATCTCCCCACCCCCCAAATCAAATAAGTGAGAGCCATTAATCCACTTTTATTTTTACAAATAATTAAGTTCTTTCATTAATTACATCACTGTCCAACCCTTTTAAATCGTTGATAGTTGCACTTAAAAAAAATCTTTTTAGAGGAACATCATTTATGCCTCCTCAAATCTTAACTCCCGAGGCCGGATTGTTGTTTCAAATAGAGCCAAAGATGGTGGTAACATCTCTGACATATTCGATAACGTATCCACAAACACAAATAGTTTTTTTTTCAAGGAAGATGCCACGTAACATATACGCTGCTGCAAGAATTAAATATAAGGTATAATAAAGCGGAGACTTGAAAAAGAATTGACGAAAAGTCGAGAAATCGATTGAAACATTCAAAGCAAATGTTAACGGCACATTACAGCTCCGCTAACGCACTTGTTTGCCATAAAGTATCAATTACTTCTCCCTGTATAGCAGTTAAGCTGCAATAAACGCGACACAATGGCTGAATTAATATTTTGAAACATAGCAAATGGATGTTTCCAGCAAATAGAAAGGTAACCGAGTAATAAAAGCCGATTCCCCTTTTTTGCTTACTGTTAGGAAGCAACACACGGTAATGTTAGCAGTTTTTGTGATTTAATTTTCAGAAGACTCTTTTGTTTTCTTATAATGTTCATTTTACTTACAAAAAATTGATAAAGGTCATACTTTTCAAGAATCTGTTGCATAATAGAACTGCTTACATCTTGTGTTTTTTTGGTTTGAAAATAACTGCCATTTGGCTGAAAAAAATGAAGGCGCACAAACTCAAACTCACCACCATCTTCCTGAACTTCGTGAGAAAGCCCCACTCTCTTTCTTGGTTACTGTATTGTCGTTGTGAAGGTTTTACGTTTCTTTCACCCTTGCAAAGCTATTCAACGTAAAGCAGGCGGGACCTCCGAAATTAACTTTTATCTCCGACAGAGCTGAGCCATTAAATATGTGGAGAGCCTCAAAAACTCCCCACACCAACCCAAGTTCAGAACGCCCTGTTGGGGATTCGAAGCATGGCCACCTGCTCTGTAGTCCAGCATGGTGCCAACTGAGTTAACACTGTGCCCCATTCTTTTTTACTCCCTTAAAATATCTCTCACGTGTGCGTGACACCTACTGTCGTCCTTTGTTCTGTCTATTTTCCCCCACCTTTTCACCAAGAGTAGCGTCTTCGAAAAGCGCTGTATACATAAATGTCTGTAAGTAGTGTAAGGGTTTTTAGAAAGGAAACCAACCAAATAACAAACACAAGTCTGAGCGCCCATTTGTTTAGTTTTTTTTGGGTGAAATTGTATATGTACGTTTTAAATTCACTCAATGCTTGATTTATTCATGGAATTTCTTTCTTTCCCTTCAGATGGAACCACCCTCTATGGAAAACTGCCTTCCTGGAGCAATGGGCATGCCGTGCCGTTCCCCTCACAGTCAGTGGGCGTCACCCCCTGTGGCGCACGCCCACCACCCACCTCACAGTACAGCTGTCATGAACACCTCTCCATTCATGGGCTACACACCGTCCTCACCAGACCACGACAGTAAAAACAACGCATACATGAACGACGGTAACAACGGCAGCAACAGCAACAACAACAACAACAACAACAATTTGGGGGTGACCATGACGCCAGCCGGTACTGTTGGCACTACCAGCAACAGTAATAGTAATAATAACAACAACAATAATAACAATAATAACAGCAGCACAAACAATAACAATAACGAACGCAAATCCAGCGGGGAAAGGTCAGTCGACTCCAGCGGCCCAAGGCAGAATCAAGTTGGCACGATTTTACTGCACGGGGAGGCCATTGTGTCGCTTGTCATTGACAACAAGGTACTGGTCCGATTTGCTTAGGAGAACCACTATGAAGCAACAGTCAAATTCAAAACTCAAAATTAGTTAAATATTCGTTTAAGAATAATATGTGTGGTTCGATCCATAGAACATGATTTTTTTTTCTCGAAGTACATCAAATACTGATCGTTTCCTCATTGCGGTCTTCATATCTTTACGTTAAAATACTGTCTGCTCTTGAATCCTAACTTTTGTGCTTAATATATTTTTCGGCTCTAAACATATAGCTAGAGATTGCTTAATCATCCTGCCATCAATTGCCTAACTCACCTATCTTTCTATTTCTCTACCCTATCGTATATCTTTCCGTCTGCCAATGTACACACTCATTCATTTGTTCACCTTCTAATTTGTCGAGTCATCTACTTGTCTACCTATTAGTCCATTCAGACTTCGATAGCTTGGTAACTGTGACAATTGTGATGGCCATGTTGACTTTCTATATATAAAGTGTGTTGTTTGTTAACCATCTGAATACCAATCCCAACTCTTTGCTGTAAACAGCTTACTGTACTGTTTCATGTGATCCTCTGCTTATTGTAACTGTAAGCATAATATGACTCCGATTCTTACCTCAGGAGCGATTGTGCCTCGCGCAGATCTCCAACACTCTGCTCAAGGACTACAGCTACAATGAGATTCACAACCGCCGTGTGGCTCTGGGCATCACTTGCGTCCAGTGCACACCAGTTCAAGTAAGTCATGTACTAACGTCAGTTAATTAATAGATCACCCTATCCACTAGTAAGCCAACAATTCAAGAAACCAAGCAAATTAATCAATCAATAAATCAATCTAGCAACCAGTAAATTAATGAGTCACCAACAATCAGTATAACTATTATAAACACTAAACCCCGCTTCCACTCCTTCATTTTTCTACCTCGCTATCCATTCTTCCACCCCTCCATTCAATGACCAGTTCATTTATCTGTACTTCTACTCCTCCGTCTACCAGTCTAATTGGTCATTGAATCAAGCAAGTTAGCAATCAGCAAACAAGCAGAGAAATAAATAACCGATAAAAAAAATAATAGATATGTGAAATTGATGAATACACAGGTCGAAAGATTAAGAAATAACAGTAATTAATAAACAAAGAAATAAACAAATGAATAAATTACATCATTTCAGCTGGAGATTTTGCGTCGTGCCGGAGCTATGCCAGTGTCGTCTCGTCGCTGTGGGATGATAACCAAGAGGGAGGCAGAGCGTCTGGTGAAGAGCTTCTTGGAGGAAAACTCACCCCCGAAACTACCCGAGGACTTTGCCTTTGATGTGCACCACGAGTGTGGATGGGGCTGCAGAGGTGAGGCGATGGGGGAGGTGAAGGAGAGGGTCAGTGGGTGAAAGAGGGAGGTAGGGGAGGGGTTTCAGGGGGTTGAGAGGGAGAGGTTGAGGGGAGGGGTTGTATGGTTGGGGAACGACGGGGGGTCATTGAGGGAAGGAAGGAGGGTTTTTTGGGAGGAGAGGGGGATAAAACAACGTCATTTGTGATCTTGACTCAATTGTTGATATAATTAAATGTTCATTGTAAATGTTATTCGCCCCCATTGACACACTTAGAACATTTAGGAGGAGAGCTGCTTCAACCCTGACTATCAGGACTAACTCAGGCTGAATGGGACGCAGCATTTCAGTGCAAGTATTATGTCCCCACTCGAGAATCATTTCAGATCTTATACGAAGGTTAAATTGTGCTTTCGGTGTGAGTTCAGTGTGGATGACAGCATATGAGAGCCTAACAAATTGAAAACGCAATGTTTAAAAAAAGGGGTGTCATGGCCTTTTTAAACGAATAGGCTGGTCAAGCTAATCATATGCTTACGAACGTGTGATCCTCTCACCAGAAAAGGTAAACAGAAATAAAATAACTTAAACTGGTATAATTTACGTGTGTGTGTGTGTGTGTGTGTGTGTGTGTGTGTGTGTGTGTGTGTGTGTGCGCGCGCGTGTGTGCGTATGTACGTGTGCGTATGAGTATGTGTCTGTGTGTGTATGCGCGTGTGTGTGTGTGTGTGTGTGTATATGTGTGTGTGTGTTTGTTTGTGTGTGTGCATGCGCACGCGCATGCCCTTGACATACAATTCTGATAAGTGAGTTTGTTGCGGTTGCAGCTGCTTCTGTTATTGTCGTTGTTGTTCTTGATGTTGTTACTGTCGTTGTTGTTGTTGTTGTTGTTGTTGCTGCTGCTGCTGCTGCTGTTGTTGTTGCTGTTGTGGTTGATGGTCATGCTTTTGATATTTATTCTAAATAGCTATAAATATGACTTCTTGTCAAGCAGTATATCATCTTGATTCCTCAGGTCTGTTCGAGCCATCCCGCTACAACAGCTCCCGAGCTAAATGCATCAAATGCTCTTACTGCAATATGTACTTTTCGCCCAATAAATTCATCTTCCATTTCCACCGGACACCAGAGGCTAAGTACAACCACCCCGACGCAGCAAACTTCAACTCGTGGCGCCGCCATCTCAAACTCTACTCTGGTCACGACATTGAAGAGATCGCCTACAAATGGGAAGATGTGAAAGCTATGTTCAATGGAGGAACTCGTAAAAGGCTCTTTACCTCGACGTCGTCTTCTTCATCATCATCCACGTCCTCTTCCTCCTCCGCTCCCTCAATGTCGTCTTCAGTGAGCAACCTCTCGAGCTCCCTAGCGTCCAGATCCTCTCAGCTCGTCGACGGTTGCAGCGGAGGGAAAAAAAGCAAACCTAGCAGCACCGTTTTGGACACATCGGCTTACCTTCCTAAACCCCCGCCCTTCCCTAACCCCTTCAACCCGTACAACTGGCTAGCCACAGCACCAGGCAAGTCGCCGTACCCTTTCATGGCTATGAACTCCACACAGTCCATGTGCTTCGGGTTCCCTCAGCAGCCCGCCAACAAAGACGCTGTGGCTGAGAGGATGAAGGCCTCTGCTCTAGCCCCACACGCCTGGATGGGCCGCTCGGCTTCTGCAGCAGGGCCCTTCCCCCTCTCCTCAATGGACCTTCTGTGGGAGAAGGCGTTTCCCTTCCAGCAGGCGGCGCTCGGGTATAGAGGGGCGGGCTATCCCACGCCCCCACTCGCTGGAGCGACAAACCATCCAGTGGTGGGCGGCGCCTTGATGGATCCTCACCTGCCGTCTCAGAACGAGGACAGACATTGCATCTCGCCTGGGCATAATATTCCACAGAACCTCATTAAATCCAGTATGGAAGGAGGGCATAAAGGGAGGGGAGACAGAATGTCCGCTTTCAAGAGGGTCGGCCCCATCTCCTCCTCGTCCCCGCCATCGTCGTCTTCGTTATCGCCTCCTCTTAGTGGCCAAGAGGACAACGAGAACCACTTTGAGGACGATGATGATCGCAGAGGGGATGAAGACGACAATGAAAATGACAATATGTGTGCCCAGGACTTGAGCACACACTCGCACAAAGATAATGAAGACACAGAGGAGATAGATGTAGAGGAAAACCACGAGGACAAGAACAGGACTGATGACGAGCAAGAACCCATAGTCACTGACGACCTGGCAGATAGAGCCGAGAAAAAAGAAGACGCTATATCCCATGAACAAATGGAAAACTTATCAAAGGAGGAAAAGCTCCCATGTGATCATCCTGATGAAAACCACGCGACAGACAATAACTCCCACAACTGTGATATGGTGAGTATTCTTACGTTCTTTGTCTAAAACTGTCTTCACGGTCCATGACGAACTGTCTTTGGAAGAGACTTTTTTCGTTGAAACCGTAAACTCGTGTGCCTCTACATTTCATAATACTGATTTTACAAACTTTCTGTTGTCTGAGGATTCTGTTTTTGTTTACCCCCCCCCCTCCCCCAACTAATTTACCATGTGTGTTTGAGGAAGCAACTGCAAACACCCAGCCTCTTTCCCCGAAGAAGTTGGTATTGTATTTCTCATAAGTTTCTCCACGCAACAGTATTATCATAAAATACATTATTTCACATTTCTACAGTCAACTTAAAGCAGTTTTAAGTAATGAGTTAAGAACACAGGCAGTTGAGGTATCGGGGCAATGTATGTGGTAGGAGGGTATTGTTTTCTACACAGACTTCCACTTGTGTTTGTAGGTGTAAATTAAGAGGGCGCCTGGTTTACTTAAATAGCTATAATATATGCTGGAATTCGCGTCGTTTGAGAAACAGCAATGTCTGTCCTCTCATCTGGCTCAGATATATCAAAGAGGGGCTTTGAATAGGATAATTCTCCAAATTGATGTACTGATCAAGTAGAAAAGGACATTTATACCTTTCCTCTACCATACTTAATTATTGATACACTTCTAATTACCTATTAAGCCAACACAAACAGACGAAGACTATACGAAAGCAGTTGGCTGGAGAGAAATAATGAATTAGGGAGACTATAAAAACAGAAAAAAATAACCTATCTTTTAAAACAAAAAAGAACCCTAGCCTTTTTTCGAGAGTAGAAATTGCAGTTTTGTTTCTCTTTTCTCCTCAGATGCAAGAGGAGAGCGTAAATCGTCGACCTGACTCAGCACTCAGTCCCGAGGGTTCTCGTCATCAAAACGACCAGGAGCCAGACCACACAGTCGGCCAAGACTCAGGCATGTCGGGTGAGCACCTTAAGCGGGGTACACACTCGGTTAAACTAATCGGATTATAGGTGCGTAATAGGGTATGGAGGGTGCGGTGGCTGAGCGGTTAGTGCGCTCGTCTCCGAAGCGGAAAGTCCTGGTTCGAGCCTCGGTTCGGACACGGATTTTTTTTCGCCCCCTCCTTCCCACCCAGCAGTAATGGGTACCTGACTTCCAGTTGGGGAAGTAAAGGCGGCGTGGAAAGGAACTGGCCACCCTACCACAATATGCCGAAGGCCCAGAAAGTTGTCTCACTAACAAGCAATCCCCAATGTCCGGATCATATGCGGGAACAACTTTACTTTATTTTCAAGTCTCTATACCCTCATCATGAGGGTGAAAAACTCGACAGGCCAAAACACAGTTGATTAGCAAGAATAATTAATAATGAATAATCATTAATTATTATTATTATTATTATTATTATTATTATTATTATGATGATGATGATGATGATGATGATGATGATGATGATGATGATGATGATGATGCTGGTGATGATGATGATGATGATGATGATGATGATGATGGTTATTATTATTACTAGTACTATTATTATTATCATTATTATTAATAATATTATTATGATTTCTATCATTATTTAATAACATAAATTAAAACATAACACTGAAAAGGCGTTATTCGTCATCACATTCCTTATATTTCCTAATCATGATCATGATCATGATCATGATCATCATCATCATCATCATCATCATCATCATCATCATCATCATCATCATCATCATGATCATTATCAACTATGACGTAGAAAAAAGCAGAGTAAGAAAAGACAGTCTCGGAAAATGTTCAGTTTCGGGTAAACAGTGGGAATAAAAGAATGTGTACTAAATTTATAAAGACTGTTCTACGTTTATCCTCGAAGGCCTCCCCAGTAACCACAGAGGAGAAAATTTAAGGGGAGTGTTGCACATTGCAAAGGATGTCTTTGAGTTACCAGGCTTATTGAAAAAGTAAAGAAACCTTTCCGTTCGATCAGGGCCTAGAGATCTCAGACTTTTTATTCTGACCCCCCCCCCCCCCCCCCCAGGCAAAACTGTTGCCTACCGCTCGAAGTGAAAGTGACAGAAAAACAGAGATAAAATACGATCGCGTCGATTTACAAAATTAGAGCGATATCAATCAATCTATTGTGATTCCACTTTATATCACAAATAATACGATATTGATTATGGTGCAAGCATGAAAGTCAATGTCATTAATTAATGAAGAGTGAATTTCTGTTCTCTGTCCTTGTCTGTGTCTGCCTATCTATCAGTCTGTCAGTCTGTTCCGTCTCAGTCTGATTCTCTCTCCCAACCCCACCCCCTGTCTGTCTGTCTGCCTGCCTGCCTGCCTGCCTGCCTGCCTGCCTGCCTGCCTGCCTGCCTATCTGTCTGTCTGTCTGTCTGTCTGTCTGTCTGTCTGTCTGTCTGTCTGTCTGTCTGTCTCTCTCTCTCTCTCTCTCTCTCTCTCTCTCTCTCTCTCTCTCTCTCTCTCTCTCTCTCTCTCTCTCTCCCCCCCTCTCTCTCTCTCACGTTCTTTCTTTTGTATGCATCATGTCCCTGTCCTCTAGCTTGTAACTGTGTCGTCCTCATGAGATCATTTAGTCTAGCGCTTCCGAATCCAAATCATCACCTAAATATGACGTGTAAATTACAGTCATCTGTTGAATGCCGTCTTCTCTGGATGGCTATCGACCCGACCCGTCTCTGTTCTCGAGTGGAGTGAACGTTACAATTTCTCCCAACGTCTCTGATCATTTGTGTTCTTTGTTACAGATGAGTCAGACGGCGAGGTGGAGAATCAGAGAACATTTGGCGATATGTCGAAAGGTAAATACTATCTTTCTGATCTTCCTTTTTGACATAAGTGTAGAACATCGATTGCTCAATTTATTGCTGTGTTGGTCAGAAACTAACACTTTTTCTTGATGTACTCGTTAACGTATACGAAGTACGGAAGAGTAGTTCATAATTGATGTTTCCTGACTTAAAAAGAACGATAAATGCAACCTAGTAAGTATTTAGAAACGTTTAATGACGCTGGATTTCTCTGAGGAAGATGAGTTTTAAATGTTTTTGCACAGCCCTAGGTTTGCATGTGTTTCTTCGTGATGGAGCGTGTATGTGTGTGTGCTTTCGCGAGCCCCCCCCTCCCCCCCGCGCACGCCTGTATGTGTGCGTGCGTGCGTGTGTGTGTATGTGTGTGTGTGTGTGTGTGTGGATCTACATGAGAGCAAGTGTGTGAGTGAACTAGGGTGTGCATCAAGGTGGTAGGGACGTGTGGTGATCTTACTAAATTTGTATTAAGCATCCATCGTGCAGAGGTTTATACATTAAGAAAAAAGTAAAAAAGAGACACTGGGGTACGATAAGCATTGTGGAAAAACAAGGGCTTTGAGCAGGATAAAGCGGCAACACAGCATAAAACTTCCACTTTTACCACCTCCATCACCACCACAACTGACAAATACAATAGAACCCATAAACAATTCATCCTCACCCCCCCCTCCCAAACCTCATCCACTCCCTTAATACCCTGGCCTACGAAAACAGCAACAACAACCAAACAAAACAATAGCAAAACACACAAAGCCTCGCAAAAAAAACAATCAACTAAAACCCCCAAACGCTAAAATGCAACTACTTGGAGAATAATGTGACGATATCCCCTCTCTGCCGACGAGAAAAACACTAAAGACGATTTATTATCCTTTTAATTTACACTGGAACAACCACAAACATCCATCCAAGCCTACTGTATGTGGAAGAAAATTATAGACACAGTGGGCAAAGTACTGACGGGATTGTTTTATTTCTTCCACCCCCCCCCCCCCAAACACAGAGGAACTATGTCAAACGTTGAAAAACGAAGTAGAAAGTCGTCGCCGACGTGAGAAAGAAGTAACTGTTCTGAAAGGTGAGTTCTTTTATTTCTCTGTTGTCTGTCTATTGGTTTGCAGCTCATGTTCTAATCATTTGACAACAACACAATTAAGAACATTACGAAAAGTTATGGCATAACATATAGTTCACATTGCAAGAACAGTGCGCTTTCCTTGTTATGCCACTTATGGACACGTATGATGCACTGTCGGTGAAAGTAATTGCAGCAACAGGTATAAAAATAATCACATCAGCATCTCTACCACAAATTATATCAATATAATTACTTGTCTATTTTTACGTATTATTGTGTTTATAATAATAAGTTACATATATAACAAATAAAATGTATAAAAGTTGCAATTGTAGATATTTTATGCCGCCCATCGACGCACTTCAGATCCTTTAGAAGTTGGATGTTGGGACCCTGCCTAACAGCCAGGGCTGAGGGGATTATAACATCCCAACTGACGGACGGAAATACGAGATTAAAAAAACAAAACAAAGAAAAACAAACAAACAAACAAACAAAAGAAAAAAAACCCCTTTCCAAACGGGAACTGAACCCATGTCTTCTGTGTGCGACAGCAAAGTATCTATCCTCTACACCACAAACGTCGGTGCTATTGAGGCAACATAATTCAGAATGGAATGATATGATAATTAAATATGATAATAATAATAATAATAATAATAATAATAACAATAATAATAATAATAATAATAATGATACTACTACTACTACTACTACTACTACTACTACTACTACTACTACTACTACTACTACTACTACTACTACTACTACTACCACTACTATTAATGATAATATTAGTAATAAAAACAACAACAATAATAATTATAATATTAAAATAATAATAATACTAGTAAAAATAACAACAACAATAATAAGAAGGATAATTATGCAACAATAATAACAATTATAATGTTGAAACTAAGTATAGTAATAATAATAATAATAATAATAGTAATAATAATAACAATAATAATAATGATAATAATAATAATAACAATAATAATAACAATAATAATAACAAAAATAATAATAACAATAATAATAATTTAACAATAATTATAATAACAGTAAATATCACAAAACAGTATAATTGCATAGTGACGAAAACAGCAACCATAAAGTAACCAAAGCAAGGATAATACATTAATATTAAAATGATGATTATTGTGATACGATAGTAATGATGATGATGATGATGATGATGATAATGATGATGATGATGATGTTGATGGTGAGGATGGTGAGGATGTTGAATTTGGTGAGGATAATAACAATAACAATAATAATAATAATAATAATAATAATAATAACAACAACAATAATAACAATAACAATAGTAACAATAACAATAATAACAACAACAATAATACTAATATTTATAATAATGATAATAATAATAATAATAATAATAATAATAATAATAACAATAATAATAATAATGATAATAACAATAATGATAATAATAATAATAACAATCAGAATAATGCAGTACATATTAATAATAAAAACACCATTAATGATAAATCAACAGAAATAACAGTTATAAAAATGATATACATATAGCAAAAATATAGTACCAATAACAAAAACAACATAAGCGATAATAATTGGTAAACAATAATACTAATAACAATACTAATACCAACAATAACAACATGAATGTTAATAGTAATAACTGACGTTAATTTGGTAACTTACAGAAAATACCAGATTTTAGACGCAAAGCTTATCTGAGCTTTTGATCAAGTCGTTGTCTCAAATTCAGTTGCTTTCAAGCTTCATCCTACAGGAAATGGACTTTGCTGAAGAGATACTAATAAATTCGGCTAAAAGACAGTGAGAATTTAGTCTTAGCTGCACAAAAGTCATTTTTCTTACATTGTTTCTGTCTCTCTTTCTTTTTAAAAATCTTTTTCTTCTCTCTTCTTCTTCCCCTTCTTCGTTTTTTTCTAGGTTTCTTCGGCTTTAGAGAAATGTCTTAAGACTATTTCTTAAAAGATGAAGTCTCTGGTTTGATATCATTGGTAATTATTGTCTTTGACAGATACTTTCAAGGAAGAAGTGAACCGAGAGAAAAACTTCAGGGAGCACATGGCCCAACAACTGGAAATGCTAAGAGGTGGGTGCCACTTTAACACAATCCTCTTGATAATTTATCCTTGTCTTGATGCTCGATCAACGTGGCGCTGTTTGGTTAGGAATTATTGACAGACACGCAGATTATATCTGGATTTCAGTGAAGTAGGATTTTAAAAATTAATGTTGTCTAAGGAATGTATTCCTCCTGGCTCAATGTGTTTAAGTAAGAGTAGAAAGTGTCCTGATTTGGAAATGACGCTCTGTGAAACTGAGAGAAAGAATCCCTGTTGTTTGTGTTGCCTGATATCCATACTTAGATAAACCGAAAGATTAGGATAACAAAAGTTTGACTTTCACTCCCCGCCCCCCTTCCCCCCGTCTTATTTCTAGGAACAATAATTAGTTGATAAAAGGACTTCTGTAACATGTACTTTGATTCCATTCAAAATATTTCTGTACACAACGATAACGCAAACCAATCATTATTTTGTTCTTTTTGTGCCTACAGAAACCCTTACCAATGAACTGGAGCAAGAAAGAAAGATCCGTTTCTCCCTTCAGCAAAAGTTGAAAGGTAAGGTTCAGATCAGTATCTCGGATGCTTTTAAGGACAAACAAACATCAAACAAGCAAACAAACTAACAAATAAACACAAACAAACAAACAAGCAAACTAACCAACAAACACTTAATTAAAGAACTAAGAAAACCCCCCAAACAAACAATATGAATAGCAAAAGAAGCAACAACACCACCAAAACCAACAACCAACGACGGCAACAACAATAACAGTAACAGTAACAACAACGAGATCGCCGTGATCAGTGGAGTGAAAACAGAATTCAATGAGTGATCTTAGTTGAAGGGGAAGAAACGACAGTGTATGTAGCTTGTCGTTAAAAGACATTGCAAAAATGAATGAATAAGCGAAAATGAATGAATGAATGAATGAATGAATGAATGAATGAATGAATGAATGAATGAATGAATGATGATGATGATGATGATGATGATGATGATGATGATGATGATGATGATGATGATGATGATGATGGTTTTTACAGCACGTGCAGATCTAGATTCTTGTCATTTATATTGTGAATGTTCCTGGGGAAGCCCGTTGGGGGCGAAACGTTTAACTTGTGATAATTTTTTTGGAAATATTAACAGGTCTTAACTGTTTTAATATCTGCTTTATACAATGATGATGATGGTGATGAAAAATACATTTATTAGAAAATGATGAAGTCAACCATTGCTTTATTTTTTGCTTTTCAGAAGCCCACGATGCTCTCCAGAACTTTTCCTGCTCCCTCCTGACCGCCCGCAGAGAAGGCTATCCCATCAAAGACGCAGGGGTGGTCCCGCGGTGAATTCGGTGCCCAGCCCTCATACGAGAGAACAGTCTTCTCCAACTATCTACTGATGCTAACAGTTGGCTCTCTGCTGTTATGTCTTTGTAAATTAAGCCATTCAAACCCTGATACGAGAGAGCACAATCTTCTGAAACTCTTTACTGATACTAAAATTTGCCTCTCCGTTGTCTTTGTGAATTTAACTGTTCAAGCCCTAATAAAGAGAATATAGTCTTGTCTATCTATCTACTGATACTAACACTTGACTCGCTGATGTTTTGTTTTTATAAATTAACCCATTCAAACCCTGATACTAGAGAACACAATCTTCTGCAACTCTTTACTGGTGCTAAGACTCGCCTCTTCGTTGTCTTTGTTAAGTAAATAGTTCAAGTCCCTTAATTATACAAGAGAATACAGATTTCTCCAACTATCTACAGGTACTAACCCTTGACTCGCTGGTATTATGTCTTTGTAAATTAAGCCATTCAAACCCTGATATAAGAGAACCCAGTCTTCTGATACTAAGACTTGCCTCTCTGTTGTCTTTGTAAATTAAACAGTTCATGCCCTCATACAAGAGAATACAGTCTTCTCAAAATATCTTCTGATACAAATACTTGACTTTGATGTTTTGTCTTTGTAAATTAAATAATAGAAATTCGCAGATTAGGGGTACGGTGATTAGCCATATGTTCTCCAATACGTTACGGCATGGTACATACTTTTTTAAAAATCAGAGAATCCATCTAATGTGACATTAACAACGGCTCCGACGAAAATAATCCCATAAGTAGAAAAATCATCAACACTAAACTACCAAAGCAACGCCAGTGGCGATAACAACAACAACAGCAGCTATAGCAGCATTATCAACACCAACTTAACGATAACAACAAGCATAGTAACAATAATGAAAACAATAATTTTAAAATATTACTACTGCTAACAACAACAATGAAAGCACCAGAGGAGGAAACAATGATTCCAAAACAGTGGACTTGACAAATAATGATAATAATAACAATCATACAAAAATGATGCGACGATAATAATGACAATAATATTACGTGTTCAAAAAGTACACCTGGCAGAAGCCAGACTGATATAAGAGAAATCTTTCATCTTTTTACATTTGAGAAAAATGTTGTGATAATCGTATTTTAGAAAAAAAACCCTTCCATTGGGAAACTGTAGCTAAAGCAGGACACATGAGTTACCAATGCTTGTACACAACATTGTTTTTCAGAGGGGAAAAACAAGATAAAAGATCCTGTCGTATAGGACAATAAATTGTATAAAAGACATGATTTTCTAGCACTTCTATGAAAAAAGCAACAACAACCCCCCCCCCCCAA